CAGGGTGCCAAGAGATATCCTTGCTAAGTCTGTTGATAACCCTGAGGAATTCTGTATCTGTGGGCATATCATCCTTCTGGAATGACTCTTCATTCTCAGACCTGGTTTTATTACCAGTAATAGAGTACACAAACAGTTCATATTCTAGGCTTCAGAAACAAAACAATGGAAGTGGTACTATTTTGGTTTTGGTAATATTCTAGCATTCTGTCTCAATATAGGAAAGAAATACCAAGAAGCCTGAAAGGGAAATAGCAGCAGGATAATTTGAGGATTTGTTGAGAGGAAATGGCAAAAATGTGCATCAAGGGATTATCTAGCAATACTACACTGTGGGAAATGGAGAGACTGTAAATATGCCAAGGATATAGCAGGGCAGCAAGGCCAGAGGAAAACCAGACAGAGAGACTTCTGGACAGAGGACAATGGAGAACAGAAAGATCAAAGGATAATGAAACAAACTGTAGAAGAGAGGATAAAGACAGAGTGTCTTCAGTGCTTTTCAGGATTGATCAGTATTTTGATTTTATAACTGACAATACTAAGAATGCCACTTTGCATATAGTACAAAGTAGCACAAGCATGGTTGGGGCTATTTCAGAAATTGTTGGGAATTCTGTCTTAATCACAAGGTAAAATTTATTTAATGATCTTGATTTTTCTTTTTGATACTTTGATATAGTTTCATTATAGTCCAGGTTGGCTTCAAAGTATGTATTTGAAGATGACTTTGATATCTTTATATCCTCCTGCCTCTACCCCCTAAGTATTGGAATTACTGGTGTGCTTCATCATGCCTGACCCACATAACAGTTTTTTTAAAACGTGAAACTCAAGCCAGCAACTCAAACAGAAAATTTAAAAATCAAACATTCTAACATGATACGACCAAAGACATACAGTATCATTAATTTGATACATGCTGGGGAACAATGACAGGAAAATGTAAAAAAATACTTCTACAATTAAATTCTGTTTCTATAAAGGTTGAAAACTTTGTATTTATAGTAGAAATTCGGAGATCTATTAGATGCAATGGTGTTATTTTTGAGCTGAGGTGTAGTGTTTATTGTCATTTTATGGCTTGATGGCATGCACAGTGTTAAGTGCTCATGTTGTGTGTTCAGAAGCATATCTGTAGTGAAGTTATATGTTACAACACAGGCAAATCTGCCAGAAATGTCTGGGATTCATTAGATGTTTGACTTTGAATTCTCACTTGTTACATGTTCACAAGTCTTGGGGTTATAATACTGGATCTTCTTGAATACAGACACTTGTACTTTTTTGGGGATTTTGCTTCTTGAGACAGTGTCATACTCTGTGTTGCCCACACTAGCCCACAACCCTTGATCTCTCTGCCTTATCTACTGCCCCGGCCCTCGGGGCTCCGGTAATTCGTGGGTCCGAGGTGGATCATGCCTGCAAATAATGGGCGAGAAAGAAAGAGCCGGACCAAGCAGATTCCATTGTCAAGGCCGATTTTATTGAAACCAAGGAGCTTTTTAAAGAGAAGAGAGGAGCAGAGAAAAAGGAAGTGGGGGGAGGGATGAGTTAATTGTTCTCAGGCAGGTATTCTGAATCTGAATCTCCTGTGTTTATCTCAGGCACTAACTAAGGAAATGGGGGAGGGGATAGGTGTTAGTTGCTTCTCAGGCAGATATCCGGAATCTGCTGTGATAAGCTAGACTTTCTGGCGTCTAACTAGGTATGGGGTCGCCAAGGCTGGCTTCTGACAATCTACTAGTATGCTACAATTGCACATTTGTTTCACTATGATCACCCATTTGTACCTTTATTACTTTCAAGTCACTCATCACAAAATCCACTGGCAATATTCTTGTTTGCAGGTACTGTCAACTCAGTGTTACATATTCTTTCTTTGTCAATCCAATAGTTGAAAACAAGTCCTAATTTTCTCTCCCCCTTTCAACTTTCTGCTACAAATAGTATTCATTGCCTTCTGCACCAGACACTGTTCTGAAAAATAGAACTAGTTTTGAGCAGAACAATGTGTGCTTGCTTTCATGGAATTTATAGTTGTGTGTGTGTGTGTATGTGTGTGTGTGTGTGTGTGTGTGTGTGTGTGTGTGTGTGTACTGGACATTATTTCATTACTACCCTCCTTCCATAAGGAAGTATTATTGGGCCTAATCTTGTGATGGTCTCGATATGGCCTCTAATTTCAAGGTGGCAAACAGACATGTCACATGCAAAGGACAGAGCTCTAAAACCCTTTTTGACCCTCTTACTAATTTCATGACTAAATTTCTACTTCATTTTTAGGGTGGATCACACATGTTGCATCCTCTAAAGGCTTTCTCTGACTTCCTTCTCCCCATTATATAACTTACTAGTGTGTTTATTTACTGCCTCTGGCACAACTATCTCCATGAAAACAATAATTATATCTGTTTTTCTCCATATTCTTAGTCCTTACACAAAAGGATACACTATTTACGGAATGATGAGTGACTTAAGGTTTCCAGGAAATCCAGTGTCAACAATAACCACAATCCTTTTGCTGTTGAGAGTCCCAAGAGTCACCCATAAATTGGGTCTCCCTGGGTTAAGGCTGTAGATACATTACATGCTTAGGTAGAAATGGAGGCAATGTTGTCTTAGAAAAGCCTCCCAGAACATAAACTCAGGCTGAATCCGAAAATACGTAGGCTTATCTGGGCATCTGAACAGCCAACAGTGCACATGGTCCCCTGGGAGCCCTCCATAATGCACAGGACCCAGTTTATCCCATGGTATAAAAATACCTGCAGTGAAAACAGGAAGATAGAAGCTTATCCATGGAGATAAAGCTAAATTAAAAACTTCAGTAGACTGTCTCAAAGTCCTTATTCTATTTCTTCTAGTTGTTTGTAAGCTCTTGATTGAATGATGTCACTTTTGTTATTTAAATCATGGCACTCCCATCATCTCTGCTGGATGTTGTAAACTCATGATTTGAAGATTATTATTTGCTACTTGCTATTCATCCTTTTACTTTTGCTTGCTGCATCATTAATAAACTCACTCAATTCAAATTGAAAGACTGGCCATCATAAATCATTGTACGTACATACAGAACATCTGCTTCTATGAATCTTCTTGTAACGCAAGCAGAAGCATTTCTTCAAGGAGAACTACTGGGTGGAGCATATGAGTATCAAACCTTGTCTCCTACAGAATGTCTGCCTAATTTGTGATCCCATTGCTCAGGCTTCATACTGTTTACTAATACTCTCTTCAATGGTTGGCTTGAAAGATTTATTAATTTTTAAATAGGTATGATAAATTATTATGATTACTAATGAAACTAGGTATTTAAAATATTTCTTGCTAGTGGGAAGTGATGTGCATGTCTTTAATCTCAGCATTTAGGAGACAGAGGTAGGCAGACCTCTGTGAGTTTGAGGCCGACATGGTCTACATAGTGAGTGCCAGGCCAGCCAGGGCTATGTAGTGGAGAGCCTGTCTCAAAATATTTTTTCCTTTCTATGTATTCTACGGTGTAAATGTTCATAACTTTTATTCATTTTTCTATAGGTTTCTTTAAATTTTTAGAAATGAGTTGTATCAATATTTATTTTATTAATTCATTTGACATAGGGTCTCATGGAGCTCAAATTGTCCAGACTCACTCTGTAGCCCAGACTTGCCTTAAACTCCTGATGCTCCTGCCTCAGCCTCTCTAGTATTGAGATTACAGACATGAGTCATCATATATATAGACCAGGTTGGTCTTGAACTCACAGATATCCTCCTGCCGCAGCCTCCTAAGTGCTGAGAATCCATGAGACTCTTGCCCAAGTTCTGCATTTTTATACAAGAGAATGAAACATTTATAGAAAGATGTGTGCAACATCATCCAAAATTACTATAACATCCTAATATATAAAGCATATACAAAATATAAATATATATTTGTAAAGTATATATTTATAAAGCATAAATATATAAAGTAAATATAAAGCACCCTAATGACTATCCAATCACGATTTTCACCAATCTCTTAGGTGGACTTTCACTGCACACAGGTTAGTTTATTCAACAGCATTGTTTTTAAATGCCACGCTCCTACCTACACATCTTGCCTACATGCTTAGAATATTCTCATCATTCCTGTGTGAAGCTGGCTGCCATGAGTGCACATTATAGATACTATGTTTGTTGGTTTCATAGGTTTCAAGCCCTTTCTGCCAATCTATAATATTTCCTTTGTGCCTTCTTATGATTCAGATTAAGTGCTGTCTCTTGCAGCTTCACCTGATTTCTTTGGCCTCACAAATCTCTTCATCCTTTGACTTCATATTGTCTTTCCAGCATGAGCCTTTTATAATATTGTCTTTATTTTTTAATGCTTTTTATGCAGGACTATTTGCTTATATACTTTTGTCACTTTTGCATTCAGTCCAGGGGAAAGGAGTCATTCTGAACCCCCATGGTATATAACCCTACCAATGTGGAATGTTAGCTTTTCCTTTCTTCCTTCCTTTCTTCCTTCCTTTCTTTCTTCCTTCCTTCCTTCCTTTCTTTCTTTCTTTCTTTCTTTCTTTCTTTCTTTCTTTCTTTCTTTCTTCCTTTCTTCCTTTCTTCCTTCCTTCCCTTTTTTGAGACAAAATCTCATTATATAACCTGGCCTGGAGCTCAATATATAGACCAGGATGGCTTCAAACTTTTAAAGATTCTTCTGCTTCTGTCTCCTGAGTACTGGGATTACGGGTGTGCACCACCACACCTGGCAATTTGTACTGTCTTAATGATACAGTCAAATGTTGATTTCATATTTTATTGTGATTTTCAGGGATTTGATCTCTACATATCTGTCTGCAGCAATAAAATATTATGATGCTCAAATGGATAAGACCTGTGGTTATGTCAGTTTTAGAATTATACAGCAAATTGAGGTGGATGACAAGTTTCATTAAGTATTTAATGATAGCTTTTAAATTGACAATAAAAATAATGATGTCAGCAAGCTTTCCTGCCTCTCAGAGCAGTGTAAATCACTGGGAAAGCATCCTGCTCTGTCCAAAAGTCTTTTTAAAAGTCCCCTTCAGCTCACTGTTCCTTAAGCTGTAAATGAAGGGATTCAATACAGGGGCTACAACCATGAAAATCACTGATGCAGCTGAGTCATTTTCAGTTGAATGATTGGATGAAGGGCTCATATAGATTCCTGCAATGGCACCATAGAAAAGAATAACCAGGGCAAGGTGAGATCCACAGGTTGAGAATGCCTTAAGTTTTCCTTGAATAGAAGTAATTTTCATCACAGCAGAGACAATGTGACCATAGGATGCTAAGATACACACTGATGGTACCACAAAGATCAGTCCTACTACAAACAGAACCATCAATTGATTGAGACTAGTGTCGGAACAGGAGAGAGGGAGGAGAGAATTGATGTCACAGAAGAAATGGTGGATAATATTTTCAGAACAGAAATGCAGTTGGGCCATCAAGAGGGTATGCAAGAGAGGATTCAAAGTGGCAATGACCCAAGACAAAGCTACCAGAGAGGTGCAGAGGCGTGGGGTCATAATGGTGGAATAGTGCAAAGGATGGCAGATGGCCACATAACGGTCATATGCCATCACAGTGAGAAGGAAATTGTCCATGTTAGCAAACATCATACAGAAATACATCTGAGCTAGGCATCCAGAGTAGGAGATGGATTGAGACTTGGTTTGGATGTTCAGTAGCATCTTGGGCACTGTAGCTGAAGGAAGGCAGAGGTCTACCAAGGACAAATTGGCAAGGAAAAAATACATGGGTGTGTGGAGATGATTGTTTGAGCCAATGGCTAGCAAGATGAGTAGGTTTCCAAATAGTCCTGTTAAGTAGAGACACAGGAAGAGTGCAAAGAGGAGCCCTTGCTGCCCTGGCCAACTTGAGAAGCCCAGAAGGAGAAACTCAGAGATGCTGGTTTGGTTTTCCCTTTCCATTGGATGTAGCTGTATGAAGAACCGTAGAGAAAATAAAGTTTCATTTGGTAAAACATGACTCCCCTTGGTATTTTTTCTTTAAATATCTACAGTTTTGGTCCCGTTTACCAAATGGTCTCCTTTTAGGCCATTCTGTCTCTTATCTGATGCTCTCTGCCAAATTTCAGTGAATGCTGAGTGTGACTTTGCACCTCATTTGTTGTCTTTATGCCTATCTTTTTGCTTTAAGCTCACATCATTAGAAAGTTCTATGGGGTCTTCATCTCTCTCTGTTCAGTAGGTAGAGGTTCTTTTACTGCTCATTTTTTATTTAGTGTGTGTGAGTTATGCAAAGTAAGATGGTTCATTATGACACTTCTAGTCAAGCCTGGTTTACTTATACTCACTGCATTACCCTGTCTTCTCTTCCCCTCCTCTCCCTGTAAATATTAAATTGTGCCCCTTTACTTTTTACAACCATTTCTTTCCCTAGACTCCTCTTATATATTCAGCACTGTGTGTGGTTGCCTGACTATCTGCTGTGTTCAAACACATCCATAGGTCTGACATGATTAATGGCTCCTTGCCCAACTCTGATATTTGAGTGAGATTCTCTTCCCCAGATATTTGTCCATAACCATGAAAACCAATCAGATACCTATCTGTAGTGAGATCTGGTGCCCTCTTCTGGTGTGCAGATATACATGGAAGCAGAATGTTATATACATAATAAATAAAATCTAAAAAAAAATAGATTTCTTCACCAAAGACAATTGTATTAAGGAAACACTTTTATAGGGAGATGAACTACTATCAGAACAGATGATTTTGCAAGAGCAGAAAGAACAAGCAGAACGTGGGCTTGTTTAGTCAGTGTTGAAACCAGACTCTATCACCTTGATGTGGGCTTCATCACCTGTGGACTCCCATCACTTGTGGGCTTCAGTTGCCTGTTGGTTCCAGTCACCTGTGAGTCCCAACACCCATGGGCTGCATTGTCCAATTAGATACTCACTGTCTCTGCCTTGGATGGCTGCAAAATCAACTTCTGATCAGCTTTCCTACTCACAGTCCTCCGTCTGTGAGTACCACTTCATCCCTCCTGGAGGATTAGTCTTCAATCTAAAAGGTTTGTCCACTTTCATCTTAAATTATCCCAATTTTTTACAATTAATTTTTCAGTTAGTATATAAAGAAATAGGTTTCTTTGTGGTATTTCATACATATATTATCATTTGTTCTTATTCACCTCATTGCCTTGCTCAATTCATTTTCTTTCTTGAGGGTCTCACAAATAATGCCCCTTTGCTTTTATGACACTACTCTCTATTGACATCACTCCCTTTAAACACTCCTTTCATAGTCCAATTTCTGCTTGGGAGAAAACATGCAGTATTTACTTGTCTTTCTGAGTCTGGCTTAATTCATTTAATATGATGACCACTAACTCATCTATTTTCCTGTGAACATTATACATTTGTTTTTCAAGATCCACTGTCTTATATAGGAAATAAAACCAAGAACTGACAAACAGGATCAAATAAAAACAAAACAACAAAAACCCTTCTGATATTTTCAATTCAATTCAAATCCCAAATTCTGTTTAACAGCCAACAGTGTTCTTCAGAACCATTCTTTACCTCTTGATTCTTATTTCTTAATATGATCATTTTTTGTTTTGCTCTTAGAATTTTCTGACACACACCGAAATTGTATCTATCTATGGCTTCTTCCATTTTGGAAGTCTCTAACTACCCTATTTAAAACTTTCTAATTTATGATGCTGTCTTAATATAACACTACTGTCTGGAATATTCTTGATTCTCTATTTCTTCTTATTTGAACCTGCTCCTGTAAAGTGTAAAGTTCATATGCACAGAAAAAGTTTAACCTACTATATACATAGAATAGTGTCTGGAATAGGTCTTCAGTATGTATTTGTTGAATAAATGAGTTAATCCTATTGAAGACTCAGGAGCCTTTTCTGCTATTATTACAAGTATGTTCCCTTTTAGATCTAGAGCAAAGAAGTAGCAGCCTACAGTCCACACCTCCAGAGAAGCTAGGAAACAAGGAGGACCTTAAGAGAGACACACATGGTCCCCTGGAGAAGGGGAAAGGGACAAGTTTTCCTAAGCTAATGGGGAACATTGGGGGAGGGGAGAGGGAGTTAGAAGAAAGAGAAGGGGAGGAGAGGAGAGGAGAGGAGGACATGAGGGAACAGGAAGATCTAGTCAGGGGAAGAATAGAGGAGAGCAAGAAAAGAGATACCATCATAGAGGGAGCCATTATAGGTTTAAAGAGAATTCTGGCACTAGGGAAATCTCCAGAGACCTTCAAGGTTGCCCCCAATTAACAATCTAATCAATAGTCAAGAGGCTGCCTTAAAATCCCTTCTCTGATAATGAGATTGATGACTACCTTATATGCCATCCTAGTGCCTTCATCCAGTAGCTGATGGAAGCAGAAGCAGACACCCACAGCTAAACTCTGAGCTGAACTCTGGAATTGCAGAGAGGGAGGAGTGATGAGCAAAGGGGTCAGGACGAGACTGGAGAAACCCACAGAAATAGCTGACCTGAACAAGGGGTTGCTCATGGACCCCAGACTGATAGCTGGGAAACCAGCATAGGACTGTTCCAGAGCCCCTGAAGGAGGAAGTCAGTTTGGAGGTCTGGACAATCTATGGGGCCACTTGTAGTGGATCAGTATTTACCCCTAGTACACAAATGAACTTTGGGAGCCTACTCCACATAGAGGGATACTCTCTCAGCCTAGACACACTGGGGAGGGTCTAGGCCCTGGTCCAAATGATGACAGACTTAGAAGATACCCCATGGAAGGCCTCACCCTCCCTGGGGAGCAGAAAAGGGGTACGATGGGGTGTCGGTGGGGGGCAGGGGAGGAAGGGAGGGAGAGGGAATTGAGATTGACATGTAAAAGAAGCATGTTTCTAATTTAAATAAAAACAAAACAAAACAAAACAATAAACCTGATGCTTATAATTGGAAAATACAACATAAAAAAGAAGTATGTCCCCCCAGTATACAATTATGATATATACTTTTCTTGCTATCCATGTATATACAGTTGTTTTATTTTTATTATGGTGGATTTTGGAAAGAATATAAATTGAATCTGATTCATCTTTCTAGAGATATTCAGTTTCATAAGTAATTTATATTTGCTTATCAAATAAAAGATTAAGCTTTTTTTCTGGATTGACTGTATGAGACTCCTTTGCTGGATTATGTAGATTATGGATTGATACCCCAGCTCACTGGCTTGTGTCAGAGGAAAAGGGTTGAAGAGTCTGTGAAAACTAAGGAAAATGAAGGGACTCTCTTACATAACCTTTAATTGGTTGAATCATAAGGTGAGAATCTGAATACAAGAACACTGGTGTTCTCAACTTCAGAGAACACACAGGTCAAGTGACAATTTCCTGGGAACTCCCAGAAATGATTAAAACCTCTTTCTATAATCCACAGACTTATCATAGTAGGTAAAAATACCAACCTACCCTTTCTAAGTGCTCTTATGTTAGATCTAAAAGACAGATAAGGTTTCAGGAAGCATATGTTTGATAGTACTACATCACTTGGCAGTTTCTTCCACATAGCACTTAAAATTTTAGTTGAGAAGTTCTCTAGTGTATTTCAAGAGCATAGGGGGCATGATTTTTCACAATAGTCTCTAAAGAGACCATAGATGAGGAGAAAGGCAAACTATGCACTTTATAGGAAGCAAAATTAATAAAATATGGATTTATGGAAGGTTTCTTCTTATGCCTTCCTCCATTTCCACATCACATTGTCCCAACAGAAATGGCTGCTTTTACTTCTTAGCCTGATTTCATTCATGATACTAGGAAGTTTTCTTATGAGCTGCTTGCTCATAAGACTTGTTCTAATCCAGTCTGCTCTTGCTACTGTTCCACCAGGGCCTGCATCTGCAAACTCAATGACAGTGGCCTCACTCCTTCCACACTCATGGCTGACAGGCAGCCTTGTGGTCTTTGGAGTCCACAGCACCAGCCCCTTTCTCCATTTGAGATATCAGTTTTAATATTCTCTGCCTTGAGAGTAACTACTTCTAGCCTGTGAATCCTTTAGTTGGACTTAAAAGAAAAGGTTCCAAGAGAGTACAACTCTTGTCTTCTCTTCTCTTCTACACAAGTCTCTACTCTATTGCCTGGGAGACTTTGTTTTTAGGCAGGGACTGGCCAGGTGAAAGAGGGTTAGTTCTTAGATAAAGTATGACTATTTAGGATTTGAGCTATGGCCACTTCATGCTGTGTGGACTGCATAATACAGGACATCTGCTTGCAGAGAGGAAAGAAAAAAACAGATTTACATAAAAGATGAGAAACTACAGTGTACTCATCATCCATGCCTCATGCCTTAATCTTTCTATATGCCTTTGACCTTCATGCCATCCTGAATTAGATTCTAATTCCAGTTAGTTCTGAAGACACATGAGCCTTCATTATGATTATGGTTTAGGCTAAATACATACTCATTGTTGTTTACTTAGAAGTTTCAACAACAGCTAATCTTTTTCTAGTACTTACTCCCTTATTTTTACCCATGCCTATTGTTAGTGGTTATCTTAAGTTCTTAGTACGATTCTATTAATTAATGCATCTAAATATTAAAGCAGTTGCTTACAGAGAATGCAAAAGGTTTATTTTACAACACCATCCTGCAAGGAGCAAAAGGGACTTCTCAATAATTTATGGTACACATGTAGAGGTAGAACTATTCCTGTAGATACTTCTGCTGCAGAGTCACATATTGCCATGTTAAGACATAAAGGGTGATAAAGTGATCACAGTTCATTAAAGGTACCACCCCATTCACTTTTCCTTAAGACAGAGTGTTTTTTTTCTACTAGTGTAAAGCAATGAAGAGAACACAAAATCAACAGAATAAATTCTACAGTTATTCAGGTAATCATAAATTCTTCACCAAGATGGAAAACAAAGCAGTCACCACTATCCAGAACTCTGTGCTGCACCTCACATTTTCATT